GTCATTGGGGTCTTTGGGCTGCTCTTTGTCTGGTCCCTCACCTTCATCTTCATCTTTTGCCTGTACTGGTTAAAAATCGGGCTGCTGCATTCTGGACCAGTTGGAGTCGTGCAATGGAGGTCTGACTGATACCAAACAGGAGTGAATTGCAGTAACCAAGCCTAGATGTAATGAATGCATGTATTACTGTCTCCAGGTTCTTTTTGGACAATATGGGCTTCAGTTTAGACAGCCGCCTCAGTTGGAAGAAACATGATTTAACGTTCATGTTTACATGATTGTTAAGTTTCAGGGAAGGGTCCATTATCACTCCCAGATTAGTGACTCTTTGTTTTTCTGACAGGGTTAGAGTGGAAAGGTTGATGCAGTGGTTTGTGATTGTGTCATTGGGAGGGAACAACATAACTTCAGACTTCTTTTCATTGAAATTTAAGAAATTTAAAGCCATCCAGTCCCTGATGTCAGCCAGGCAGTCGAGCAGCGGTTGAATAGAGCATGTACCATTGTGTCTTAGGGGGAAGTAAATTTGACAGTCATCCGCGTAGAAGTGAAAGGGCATGTTGTGTTTCCGGAAAATAGCACCAAGTGGCAGCAGTTATAAAGAGAATAGGAGGGGACTCAGGATGGACCACTGCGGAACCCCCCGTTTAAGCTCTGCCTCTGCGGAACTAAAATCCTTGATGGAGACACAAAAGGATCTGTCATCGAGGTAAGATCTGAACCAATTGAGGGCTGATCCTGTGATGCCCACCCACTGCTCCAACCTAGCAATGAGGATCTCATGGTTGATGGGGTCAAAGGCGGCTGTGAGGTCCAACAGGACAAGCAGCACAGAATCACCGGTATCTGTGAATCTGAAGATGTCGTTAAAGACCTTCAGCAGGGCAGTTTCAGTGCTGTGGAGAGGTTTAAAGCCAGATTGGAATAGCTCTAAGATGGCGTGATCCTCCAGGAAGTACTTCAACTGGGACTCGACTATTTTCTCCAGTACTTTAGAAACAAATGGGAGTTTGGAGACAGGCCGGAAGTTGGAAACGACTGAGGGGTCAAGGTTTGGTTTTTTCAGGAGAGGCTGGACAGCAGCATGTTTAAAGGATTTTGGCACCACGCCAGTGGATAAACTACTGTTTACTATAGCCAGAATGGATGGACCTTGAGTTGGAAAAACCTCCTTTAGTAGTCGAGGGGGGACCACATCAAAGGGGGAACCAGGTTTCAAGCTGCACATGACCTGCTCTAGAGAAGATAGAGTGATGGGTTCAAAATGGTCAAATGGAGCTACAGATTGAGGTGGGATGGATGGGTCATGAGTTGTAGGGGAAATGAGAGCCCTGGTGGTAGCAATTTCTTCCAAAAAGAAATGTAAGAAGTTGTCACACAGCTCAGTCGAGGCTTCCAGAGGTGAAGGTTCAGTGAGGTGGAGAACAGAGTTTAGGGTGGAGAAGAGGACACGTGGGTTGTGAGAGTTTGAGGTTATGATATGGCGAGCGGCCGAGTTCAAAGACGCTCAGCTCAAAGCTGGCACGGGAAACTGGGATGGGCAGTTGTTTACAGTCGAAAGTTGATTTGAATATTGTTAATAATCCACCACCGCGCCGGCCTGATGGCCGCGGTGCGTTAAAATACAGACAGTTCGGTGGCAGTAATTCTGTCAAGGTGTTGGACTCACCCGGAGACATCCAAGTCTCTGTGATGCAGAAAAAGTCCAAATCGTGCTCTTGAAAGTAGTCCCTGAGGATAAAAGTTTTATTGGTAACAGATCTTGCGTTGACCAAACACATCCGGATACTGTCCAAAGTGGAGCCAGCAGCGGTGGAGAGAGCGCGCACCAGTGGCCGCAGATTTTCAATAACAGCCCCTCCAGGTCAGCCCGTGCTGCGCACCGACCGACAACTCCCGTTCAAAAAGCGTTCAATACAACAACTCCCGTTGTTTACCTGGTCCAGGCACGCGGGAAGCTGGCAATGGAAACCATGACCACCATGACCACCAGCTGGAGAGGAAGATGCAGCGCTCAGGGCCTTAAGCTTTACATTTAAGCATCTGGAGCAATGTCTCCGGGCAGGCAGGTGGAGAGCGCAGCGAACATATGCTAAAGAAACAGGTTTACAAATGTTTATTGTTCTTAAAAGGTAGTAACTTAGTCTGAAATGTTTAATATAACAACTCTAGATGAAATATATAGGTGAACAGATTTGACTCACTATTTGGCAAGAAACTGGCGAGTTTTGTCTCTGTCATCCTTAATTAATGCAAAATAAACAATTATTAATGATTTATAAAGGGTTTATATAGGAATTAATAACATATCTATAAACTATTTCTTAGCCATCTATAAGAAGAGCCAAATTGTAAAGTGGTAACAAGAAAACTCCTTCATTTTTGATCCATCAAGAAACCGTGTTTTCCTTTCACCTGGGCAGCTGTGGCTGAGTGGTTAGAGCACTTGTCCTCCAATGCAAGAGTTGGGGGTTCGATTCTACCAGCAGTCACATGCCGAAGTGTCCCTGGGCAAGACACTGAACCCGTCATTGCTTCCGATGTGTGTCCCATCAGTGTATGAATGTGATAAAGCTCTGATTATTATTTGTATAGATCTAGTAGAGAGTGCTGTATGAATGGGTAAATGAAGCACAGATTGTAAAGCTTTGAGTATTTGGAGAAGATAGAAAAGTGCTATATACTGCAAGTACAGTCCATTGACCTAATAAACCATCATACAGTTTGGCTTTAGACAATTAAAATCTATATTTTATTTAATGCTGGCTGCTTAAACCACCTGGGTGTAAACACACAACCAAAACAGGTTAAATCATGTCATCTGGACTAGAATGACATTGTTTAAACTTTTTTTATCTACCTGGATGAGCTTAAAAACCTTTTTTCACTTGGGTGTAATAGTCTGCTCATAGTTAGCTTCTTGACTTAATGACACAACTAATTAATTTAATCTTACATGTTTTATCACATAGCTTACGTCAGGGGTCAAAAACAAACACACACAAAAAACCACCAAGACTTCCTGACATTGGCTTCCAACAAAACTCATATAGTAAAGATTGTACATCAGTAGCTGAATGTTGGTATAGTTCATTTAACATAAATATAGGGGGATTTTAGCTTACTTGTCCTTTCACATCTGTGTGAATGTGGCTAAAGCTCTTATTACATAATAAGTTTGGTCAAATGTCTTAATTAGTGCATTTTAAACGGCAGTCATGTTAGTAAAAATCCTTAAAATATATAGTATTTCTACCTTTATAAACAAAATATGAAAGTTGTCATGATGTTCGATGCGAGTTTGCCTGTGTGGATCTGAGGAAATGACTGGCAACACACCGACATGGACAGATTATAATCCTCTGTAAATTAACAATCAAAACTCTTCTGACTGCTGAAACAGAGGGTGAACGTTTTAAAATTATTACGATCATGAGAAATCCAGCAGATAGCTACAGACGTTCACACTAGTATTGTTAAATACTAGTGTGAAAATTGTTAAATTCACAATCACATCCCAAAATTATTAAATTCCAAATCAATTGTTAAATTCCTAAAGGCTAAAACATCAATAAAAAGGGATTTTGAAATAAATTAGTCCACTAATATAATGTAAATGCTGCAGAACAGATGTAGCTGATATGTTGATGTTTGTCAAATTGAAGCCTATTGTTGCACAAACTCCTCTTTGCATACATCTTTTTTTTTAATTATTAAAAAACTAAATGTTAAGCACATTTCGTATTAAAGGAATGAACATCTCTTCGGCCAACTTTAATGCCAGTTTTAAACTAAAATCATCTCTTGTTGAAAAATAACGGCGTTATGGATGTTTTGGTGAAACTTGAAAAGTTAAGGTTATGTGAGATCTCACGCTCAGAGTATTTATTGGGAATGAGTGTCAGCTACTACCACATCAAAATAAATGTATCGAGTCTTAGCCATTTTTGAGCTCACTTAACTGCGTGTGTCATCTTAAATTAGACCGACTCCAAACGATCAGTCGTAGGTTTCTATGAAGGCCAGAGTGAAGTTCTTTCATTGGTTTCTAACAAGATCTCAACAATAACAGCACATCAGACCCAACTCAAACACAAAGACACGAGACAGGAACCACATCAAGCCATTTCCTGACAGCTTCGTCTGCTGACAGGATCTTCTGATTGGTTGGTACAACTAGCCTGTCACGATAACAAATTTGCTGGGCGATTGTCTCAGGAATTATTGTGGTAAACGATAATATTGTTTGAAATTTCACAATAATTAGTAATTGTCAAATTTCAGAAGAAATGTTTGTTAATTTGTTTTGTGTGTAGTACCTTTTTTGACCACCGGATGGCAGTTTAAGACTGTTTGAACTGAAGGATGGATAGTGATGGAGTGAGCAGCGTGTCTCTTTAAGAAAAATGGGAGGGAGGCCCCTTGACGTGACATGGATTGTCTCTCTTCAGTTCTCAAAATGGTGGACGCTCGGAGTGGTTTGAGCTCTTCAGCATTTTTCACACAAATCTTTTAATAATTAAAAAATCAGTAAATAAGTTCTCAGCTTCTTTGTGCAGAGAAAAACAACTTTTTACACGAAGGCACGGGTTTCAACTGTGAATTATGGAGCTTTGATAAGACGGAGGGTTTTCCCTGTTAGCTTAACTCGTAGCTTAGTTTCTCAGCTTAGCTGCTTTTAACGATCCAAAAACATGATTTTGGATCGTTAAAATTGATTTTAAAGAGAAAAGGGAAAGGGAGGGGTCAGTGAAGAGCACCGGGTCATCCAGTGTCTTCAGTAGAAAGAGAGAGACACAAAGAAATGATGAAGACGATAAATGAGAATGACGTTGATAATTTTCATTCATGCGGTTAATTCATTTACTGTTTATCGCGACAGGCCTAGATACAACCAAAATTGGAAAAATCTCTCTCATACAGAACGGGTGTAAGATAAAAATAAAAAATGTGGGAAAAAAACAATGCAGAGAAAATTTAAATGACATTTTTATACCACCAATAGCTCAACTATACAGTTTCTCACATTACGTAATAACACAGTGCACAATGCTACAGATTATCCATATGTTGTTGTGCATGTTTTAGATGCTTTCCACATGAAGCATTAATAAGGATTTACATGAAATATTGCTGTGATTACAATCAGCCTCTTGTGTCATTCAAAGCTGCACCATCATCGTGAAAACATCTTTGCCTGTGAGTATAAACCATAAAACCTGCCTGCTGGAGAGGACTTCTTCATCTTATCACCTTTATGTCATCAATAGTATTACAGATGTGGTACAGCTGTTAAAATCAGGGCAGGAGAGTCCAACAAGGTGTCCTCAGGTGATGAGTCCGACCATCAGTCACTTGGCTGCAGGCTGATCAGGAACTATCAGACCGTCTGTGATCTTCTGCTTGTACTCCCGCTCTGATCGTTTCCTTCTGTAGACGTCATCTGTGGGAGGAAGATTCAAAAAGATGAACTGTGGGTTTGTTGGGTCTGCAGTAGAGGATGACACAGGGGTGGATTTTCACTCCTGTCCTGTCCTGGTCCAGAGTAAAAAAATTAATCCTGGCCTGGTCAGAATCACTCCCACTCCTGTCCTGCTCCTGTTTTTTTTATCCTCTTCATTTAATTTTTAAGAGATGCATTGAATTTGAATTGATTTTCTAACCATTCCTTTTTAAATTACTTTGTGTTCTGCAGTTTGATTTCAAAAGATATGACAGGAAGAGTTAATCTGTGGTGAAATATGGAGGCATTTATTGCCTTAATCCAAACAAAAACCTTCACTAAAGGTCACAAAACAAATACATGGCCTGTAGTCCTTATAGTTTTTCTACGGAGGATCAGCTGCTGAGTCCCTGTTTCTGGCTTTTTTGAAGGTCAGTTACAGTAAAAACAAAAAATCTAAACCAGTACATGGGTCACACCATGTCTACCTTAGATGAAAGAACCCAAACAGAACAAACAGAAGTTGCTTTTTACTAATTTATTGAGCAATTGTTTCCTTCCCTTTAGACAGTAACGTTCCTGTCATGGTTTAAATTGCTTAAATAAAAAACTAAACAAAAAAATTGCACCAAGCAAACTGTCATCAATGAACAAAACTGCATAAAGGCATTACATTCATATTGTACCTGAGTTTTTGAAAAAGGAAAAAAAAAAGTGCATATAATGCAAATACTAAATAAAAATACAACTGCCATATATATATGGTGGTTGACTGGTGCAAAGCAGTCACTTAAAAATACAAATATCAGATCTTTAAGAGACTTCCCAGCATGCAGTTTAATGTGGTGTAGTGGGGGAGGAACATCTGGCAACAATGAGGGAATCACTCCTGGAGATGTTCTTTACAAATAAATCATGGACAGGTCACAAAACTGTATACATTTGTTCAAACTTACAACTTTATGGCATTAAGAAACAACAAAAAATAAATAAAAATATATAATTGTTGTAATCGACTTGCTTATCGACGATCAATCAGAGGATCTTTAGATGTTGTACAGCAGCTCGACAAGAATCATGGCTCAGACGTGAGAGACGTCAGCTGAGACAAAGAAGGTTAATCACCGAATGTTGCAAAAGGTCTTGGCTGCTCCAGGTCAGCTGTGTCGATAATTCGGACCAAGTCCAAATAAAATCGGCGTCAAGATAGAAAACTTAAAGCAAAACGTCTCCAAAACAGAAAATACACAAAACTAAAGAGAAACAAGTGGGCGGAAACGAGAGACAAGCGAACTGTAAGAAATCACCTAAAAGAAATGAAATTACCTGCAGAACTTTCAAACCAAATTCAAACAGAAAAGAACAAGGTGACTGAACAAGAGTCATGTCAGGTAAAGACAGAGGAGACAGCAAGTCGTTACACCTTCAATAAATGCCAAAGTCGACATTAAATGTTTGGACACTTTTATGTTAAACGGATGTTTGGCGATGATAACTTCATTTTCTGTATGATAAAGCAACGTACCACAGGACACAACAACTTTCCAGCAAGAAATATATTTAATGGTGGTATGACCTGGAAACGGTCCAGATCTCAATCCAAGTAAAACTGAAAGAAAAAGGTCAATGACAAGGCTCCGATCTGCAGAGCTGATCTGGGAACAGCAGATTACTTCAACTCTACCATTTGGTCAAGACAGTAGAAAAGCCTGAGGTGTTGCCACCAAGTACTAACGAGGCAGTTTTACCTTTTTCTTTTATTTTTACCTAAAAAAAACAACTGAGACAAACCTCAAATTAATACAAGATAACTTAAGATTGTGTTTGAAGTCACAAAAATAATTTTTAACTATGTGTGTTTGTCAAAACGGCACACGAGCACATCTGGAATTACAGCAGTCTAGTTTCTGCAGTGACAGTCACTGGTCTCTGCCCATAATTTTTGTGAATTGAAGCCTCAAAGCAACAAATGATTAAATTACTGAAAATAAATCAAACTATCTGAACCTTGTCGACTTTGTAAATGCTAACAAGCGGTCAGCTGGTGTGGGTGAACAGACTGGCTGTCCTGTGAGTTACACTTACAGAAAGTTTCTCTTCCCACCCTCACGTTGATCATAACCCACTCCATGACTCCTCCGATGCAAAAGAAGATGGGAAGAAACCTGTAAGGTCCCAGTCGGCGCTTCCCCGGGACAATGTTCAACAGCTTTGTCACTACTCTGTTCCTGTAAAACATGTCGATTTACAAACGAAAACTGAGTCCGGGCAAACACTTAGCTGTCTTTTCCTTCATAGACAAGAGGGTCAGGTCAAAAGAACGCAGCCATGTTTGTTTTGTTTGTCCTCATTCTACTGGCGACGGTCGGGTGCGCTCGTTTTGAGGCATGGCTTACACTGACCGGGCGGTGTTATTCAGTTGTGCTTTGCAAATCCACAATGGCTCCGGGACTGCACGGACGGTGACTAAATCGAACGCATTTAAGAGTCGACGTCACATCCGGTTATGTTGCGCGCGTAAACGGTCTGGGTCATCCAATCAAAGTCCGTAGACACGAACTGTACATCATGACTCGATTTCAATCGAAGGAACTCGTATAATGCATAAAAAAATTACAAACAGGTTTATCAGAGCTCATTTACAAACATCATCTACTCCCATATGTAAACATAGATGGGCTTATTTAAGCAAAAAACTGTGGAGTGCAATATTATTATTGCCTCATAGGATCAAATAAGTTTTATTTATGATTTTACATAGATATTGTCCAGTTAAAGATTATATTTGTCGCTTCTTTCCAAATGTCAGCAACAACTGCTCTTTTTATCAACGTGAGGGCGAAAGTACTGAACACTGATTTGTGGAATGTGCTCATGCTGTAATTTTTGGTCAGATTTGCAAAGGCTCCTTACAGAGAAAGTTGGAAAGAGCATTGTATTATCAAAATTACAAATATTGTTCATCTTTAACAATTCAGCATTTTCTTCAGATGAAATATATATAGTAAATCTAATTATAAACCTGGCAAAATATTATGTCCACACAAGATGTAATAGGGAGAAAAAATCCCCTCATTTAATATTTTTAAAGAAACTGACTTCCAAACATATATTATCTCTGTGGAAAAGCTTAATTTAAATAATCAGAAACTTGTAAAAACTAGCTCTTCTTAAGAAATTTAACTTTATTTCATAAACAGACCCCTTTGTTATCTTTTTTACTTTTTTTTTTTGTAGTAACATACCCTTTATTTAACAAATTTGAATATATTTTGCACATTTGATAAGATAGTCAGTCAAAGTTTCTTTATTTTGTCATACACACCACGTGGTACATGTGGTGGAACAAAACTGTACACAGGGTCCCAGTTACATCCAACAAAAGCATAAAATTGTGGTTTTTGTATGGATTGAAAAGGAAAACATTATTTTATTTTACTCATTTATGTATATTTATTTAATTTTTCTTTATCTTATTTAGTTTACTTTGTAGATTGCAAGACCATTAGTCTTATTATTCCGTTGTTTATTTATTTATGTAATTTGATATTATTATGGTGTTGAAGATCTTTATATGCATCGTAATTTGTTCAAAATAAAGTACTGTTTAAAAAAAAATATATATTTGGTAATTATTTGTACGCCCAATGCCCTGATATGCAGACCACCGAGCTATGTACCACAGCCCTCTGTGTGGAGCAGAGCTGCTATCTAGAGCACCTGGGGGAGCAGATGGTGGGGGTTGAGGGCCTTGCTCAAGGGCCCAGTGTTGTACAAACAAGGGTGGAGACAGGTGTAGGTGCTTCACCTTTTCTTCCCACATTTTGTTGTTGTTGGTCCGGGGAGTCAGACCAGTGACCTTCCGATCACACAGGCACACCTACCCTCTGCACCACCACTCTGCCAATAACAGTGACAGTCACAAATATGAAACATAAAACTTAAGAATTTCTCATGCTTTTTAAAATTAGATAAGGTCATACTTAAAGTGACACATATACACAAACGATTAAATAAAAGTCGATTCAATGTCAAAGAACTGAAAGTAGGCAGATACAGTGCCTTGTGAAAGTATTCAGCTCCCTTGAACTTTTCAACCTTTTGCCACATTTCAGGCTTCAAACATAAAGATATAAAATTAATTTTTTTTGTGAAGAATCAACAAGTGGGACACAATCGTGAAGTGGAATGAAATTTATTGGATGTGTCAAACTTTTTTAACAAATAAAAAACTGAAAAGTGGGGCGTGCAATATTATTCAGCCCCCTTGCATTAATACTTTGTAGCTCCGCCTTTTGCTGCAGTTCCAGCTGCAAGTCTCTTGGGGTTTGTCTCTATCAGTTTTACACATGGAGACACTGAAGTTCTGCCCATTCTTCTTTGCAAAACAGCTCGAGCTCATTGAGGTTGGATGGAGAGCGTTTGTGAACAGCAGTCTTCAGCTCTTTCCACAGATTCTCGATTGGATTCAGGTCTGGACTTTGACTTGGCCATTCCAACACCTGGATACGTTTATTTGTGAACCATTCCATTGTAGATGTGTCTTTATGTTTTGGATCATTGTCTTGTTGGAAGATAAATCTCCGTCCCAGTCTCAGGTCTCTTGCAGACTCAAACAGGTTTTCTTCCAGAATGGTTCTGTATTTGGCCCCATCCATCTTCCCATCAATTCTGACCATCTTCCCTGTCCCTGCTGACGAAAAGCAGGCCCAAACCATGATGCTGCCACCACCATGTTTGACAGTGGGGATGGTGTGTTCAGGGTGATGAGCTGTGTTGCTTTTATGCCAAACATATCGTTTTGCATTGTGGCCAAACAGTTTGATTTTGGTTTCATGTGACCAGAGCACCTTCTTCCACATGTTTGGTGTCTCTCAGGTGCTTGTGACAAACTTTAAACAACACTTTTTATGGATATCTTTGAGAAATGGTTTTCTTCTTGCCACTCTTCCATAAAGGCCAGATTTGTGCAGTGTACGACTGATTGTTGTCCTATGGACAGACTCTCCCACCTCAGCTGTAGATCTCTGCAGTTCATCCAGAGTGATCATGGACCTCTTGGCTGCATCTCTGATCAGTCTTCTCCTTGTTCCAGATGAAAGTTTAGAGGGACGGCCGGGTCTTGTTAGATTTGCAGTGGTCTGATACTCCTTCCATTTCAATACGATTGCTTGCACAGTGCTCCTTGGGATGTTTAAAGCTTGGGAAATCTTTTTGTATCCAAATCCGGCTTTAAACTTCTCCACAACAGTATCTCGGACCTGCCAGGTGTGTTCCTTGGTCTTCATGATGCTCTTTGAACAGAACCCTGAGACTATCACAGAGCAGGTGCATTTATACGGCGACTTGATTACACACAGGTGGATTCTATTTATCATCATCAGTCATTTGGGACAACATTGGATCATTCATAGATCCTCACTGAACTTCTGGAGTGAGTTTGCTGCACTGAAAGTAAAGGGGCCGAATAATATTTGGGTATCTTGGTCGACTCACATCTCTCTTAAGCTCCATGTGGAAAACTTTGTAAAGAAACAAAAAGTTAAACTGGGTTTCTGACAGGGTTTTACCTGTACCTTAAATAAAACACAAGGGAGACAAGAATGAGATTTCTAGAACGTATCTTTGCAAAGAGGGACAGCGTTCGACCGAAGTCAGAACAAAGTCCAACTTGTTTCAGCGTGCGTTCCTTTTTTATTCAGGCAAGTAGGAATGGCAAACATTCAGGCAAGTAGGGATGGTAAACAAGAAACGCAAGATCTGGTGGTTTTCAGGTAACATAGACGTGGCAGTTTCTATCAAAACAGGAACTGTGAGTTTCCAACAAGTCAGTAGAGAAAGATTTCACAGCATTATAGAACAGTTTAAATGAGTATAAGTTTAAACGATCAATAGATAGAGTAAAATACTCTAACATATTCCCTCCTGTTTATCGTTTAAACTGAAAAAAACAAAGAGCTATTTGAGTTCTAAGTTCAGCAGGAGATGCTTATGTAAATGACGCGGAAAAAACTCCCAGGGCTGATGTTTAAGAATGTGGAAGGAAAACGCGTCATCGCTCCAGGCCCCTCTGGCAGCGGCCGATTCAGGCTTACTCAGCAGCTTCCTGAAGTGAACTCAACATAGTTAAATCTAAAGTCAAATAAAACAAAACAAAATATCAATCGAAAACAGAACGACGTGGGCTCTTTATGAGCAATAGTTCTTTATGAATTGCAAAAATGATTGAAACGTTTTTGGGTTGTCTAGATCATGGCCAGGTCAAGCTAAAAACATCATCTTAATGCCTGTATTCAAGAAATACTTTAAGCATTAGAATCATTATGCATTTTGTCTTGGCTGGTTGACTTATTCAGGACGTCACTCTGGGTGCAGGAGATTGTAGGCATGTTCAGGAAAGTACTCATTCTGCACACGAGCCTGGTTGAGATTAATCAGCACGCCAATGAAACTTTTCATCATCATGTTCTTCAAACATGGCACTATGCAAGAGAAGAAAAGACAAAACAGGATTAAAACATGGAATGGTTTCAGTCAGCATTTCGACTTCCAATGCTTCTGGCAGAGGTCCTTGACAAAAACCCAGTCTCCTAGGTGGGGTCAATTCTTTCAGCCTGCTTGATACACCTGGAAGTCATCCCTGTGGTGTTCAACTGCAGAGCTGGATAGAATCAGAAAATAGCACAAAGAGACAAACAACAGAATAGGACCCTGCCCACATATGTTAGTTCCCATACCAGTTTAGCAGAGATGAACCACCACAACAATAGAAAACCTTCCCAGAAAACAACATGCCAGACCCAGTCTGGTTTCAATTCTCCAAGCCAGGTGACAGGGGAGCCCCCAGGGTCCTGAGTCCAACAGGTTCCTCAAGATTCCTGGCACAAACAGTTGGTTAGTATAATGAATTTATTTTTCTTACCTCATTCAGTCTGTAGAAAAAAATCTTATTAAACGCTTGCGCAGAAAATATATATTTTCTTTGGTTACATCATTGTCAAAACAGTGCAATACAACATTAAACATTTAATTCCACTGAATAATGAAAGAAAGTCAAAATCAGTTAATTTTATTCAGGTCGGCCATTGCTTCGTCGCAGATCTGTTCAGGTGAAACAAAAACTAGGAAAAAAGGTTTACAATACGACTGCAAAACAGTAGTAAAAATGTGGTTAGCATACTCTATACATAAAAACCCAATTTCATTTCTTTTCAGTCCAGTCAAGTCAAGTCAAGTCAAGTAAAGTCAAATCAAATCAAATGTATTTAGGAACACAGATCCACCTTTGACCAAATCCACTTCTAGGGTCTGTGTTTGGATTCGGCTGGGTCTAGGGGCGTCCCCCATAGACCTT